ACTGTCATTTAATTTATTTACTCCTATGCATGGGATGTCATTTCTCTCTTGTTGCTTTCAAGATTTTTGGCATAAATTTCATTGGGTTTATCTTTGTTTGAGTTTATGCAGATTCTTGAATTTTTACATTTAAGTCTTTGTTAAAATTGGGAAAATAGTCAATTTTCTTTCAAACACTGGGTTTCACTCACTTTTCATCTCCCTTTAAGTTTCCAATAACACAAATTTCATATATTTTGTTATAGTCTTACAAATTTGTCAGCATGAAATAATATGAAATATGAACTTTACAAAAATAAATTTGCAAGTGATAAAAAATTACTCAAAATGTACAATGTACTAAGGCTGACAAATAACATAAAATATGAAGAGTTCCACATCTCATAGAGAAAGTAAGCCCATTCTATAAAACTTTCCAAAGACAAAACTCCAGGTTCATCTAGTTTCAGTAACTATTTAAAAATATGTAAAGAACAAGCAACACCAACTTCATGCAATTTTCAAACATATTTGAAAAAAGGAAAACCATGTGTGGTTAGGTTTGATGAGATCTGTGTAAACTTTACTTCAAGACCTGAAAAGAACTCTGCAACAAACAGCAATTTATACATCTATAACTCTTATGAGCAAAATTCTTATAAAAATGTTAGCCAACTGAATTCCATGATATAAAAGATGGCTACTACATCATGCCCTAGTGGAGTTTATTCCAGAAATGCAAGGCTGTTGGAGCATTTGAGAATCAGTTAGTGTGATTCATTACATGAACTGAAGGAAGGGGAAAACACATGCAACCAGCTTGATAGAGACATGAACTATTATTTGACAGAATTCAGCACTTGACCTTAAGTTTTTAAAAATCTGTTTGCAAATTTGTATTAAAAAGTTATTTCATCAGTCTGAGAAGTGATAGCTACCCTATTGTACACGTTAGTCTCAGCAGTGAAATATTTACAACAGTTTCCGTATCTAGAGTAGTAGAGGAGTTAGACAATGAAAATGTCAAGTAAAATATATGAAAGAGATAATTGCATCCAAGTAAAATGGTCATTTTTCTTTTTTTTCTTAGATGGAGTTTCCATCTCGTTGCCCAAGCTGGAATGCCATGGTGCAATCTCAGCTCACCACAACCTCCCCCTCCTGGGTTCAAGCAATTCTCCTGCCTCAGCCTCCTGAGTAGCTGGAATTACAGGCATGTGCCACCATGCTGGGCTAATTTTTCTTTTTTATTAGTGGAGACAGGGTTTGACCATTTTGGCCAAGCTGATCTCAAACTCCTGACCTCGTGATCTGTCCGCCTCGGCCTCCCAAAGTGCTGGGATAATAGTCGTGAGCCACTGCGCCCAGCCTAAAATGGTCATTATTTACTCTTGACATAATCAGGTACTTAGAAAATAAAAAAAGTAGACAAACTCATAGATTTAATAAGTAAATTTAAATAAAGTTGCTGGATACAAAGTCAGTATACATTAAACCATTTATGTTATTGATATAGTTTGCATGTCTGTCTCATCCAAATCTCATGTTGAAATATAACCTGCAATGTGGGAGGTGAGGCCTGGTCAGAGGTATTTTGCTCGGGGGCAGATCCTTCATCAATGGCTTGGCGCCATCCTAGCTGTAATGGGAGAGTTCTCGCTCAGTTCACACAAGATGATCTGGTTGTTTAAAGGAGTGCGACTCTTCTCCACTTTCTGCGCTCCTGCTCTCACCATGTGATACCTGGACTCCACTTTCCTTCCCCCAGGAAAGCCAGCTTCCTGAGGCCCTCACCAGGAGCAATTGCCAGCACCACACCTCCTGTCCAGCCTGCAAAACCCTGAGCTACTTCAACCTCTTTTCATTATGAATTACCCAGCCCCAGGTATTTCTTTTTAGCAATGTCAGAATGGACTAACACAATTATACATTATCCTAAACAAATAGAAAAGAAAACCAAGAAAATAATTGTATCAATTTCCTCACCTCTTTGTTTTTTTCTTCTACTTTTTCAAGTTAAATTTGCTTTTTTTGATTCTTAAGTTAAAAGTTTAGATCTTCGATTTTTACATATTTATATTTTTATAATATAAACGTTTAACACTAAATACTTTTCTTTAAGGACTGCCTTGGTTGCATATCAAAAAATTTTTAAATTCATTTTAATATTATTTTATGTAATATTATTTTCAAATTCTGATTTCCTTTTTGACAAGCCATAGATTATTTAAGTATTATTTTACTTTAAAAAATGTGGGCAATTTTCTTAATCTTACTAATTTGTAATTTGATAGGACTGTGATACTCTGTATGATTTTATTTGTTTATTTATTTATTGTGAGACAGAGTCTTGCTCTGTCACCCAGGCTAGAGTGCAGTGGCATGATCCTGGCTCACTGCAACCTCTGCATCCCAGGTTTAAGCGATTCTCCTGCCTCAGCCTCTTGAGTGGCTGGGATTACAGGCACCAGCAACTGTGCCTGGCTAATTTTTGTATTTTTAGTAGAGACAGGGTTTCACCATCTTGGATAGGCTGGTCTCAAACTCCTGACTTCAAGTGAGCCACCTTGACTGCCCAAATCGACCTCCCAAGGTGCTGGAATTACAGGCATAAGCCACCTCGCCCAGTCCAATTTTATTCTTATGAAAGTCATTGAGACTAGTTTTATAGTCATAGTATTCGCTCTATTTCATGGATAATCTTTTTGCAATGTAAACAAATAAATATTCTGTAGTTCTCAGATGTTGCAAATATATAAATGTCAATTATGAATGTCAACTAAGCCAAGATGGTTGAAAGTATTGTTGCTATCCAGATTTCCTTCCTGATCTTTGTTTGCACGAAGCTACAGAGATGTTTGTTGTCTTCTCTCTACCTCCCTAGTTTCCACACCACCAGCATGAAGTCAGAAGAAGTCCTGGAAGGAGAATCAGCTGGCAAGGTAAAGTAAATTTATATTATTCAGGGGCCTCTATAGATTGTAATGCATCACACAAGCCCCGGGGGTATTTACAACTCAGCTGGTTGGTCCTCACTCCCTCACAATCTGCCTTTCTCAGCCAGGCTCAATCTTCCACCCATGTTAAGATTCAGTAGATGGACCAAAGAGTAAGAGTGGACACTTGTCCCTGCTCACCTAAGTGGAATTTGTTCATCTCTGGAATTTAGAATTTTTATACCTTTTCTTTTCTTTTTTTTTTTTTGAAGCGGAGTTTCTCCCTGTCACCAGGCTGGAGTGCAATGGCATGGTTTCGGCTCACTGAAACCTCTTTCTCCCGGGTTCAACTGAGTCTACTGCTTCAGCCTCCCTTGTAGCTGGGACTACCGGTGCCCACCACCATGTCCGGCTAATTTTTGTTTTGTTTTTTTTTTTTGGTAAAGATGGGGTTTCACCTTATTCTCCAGGCCGGTCTCGAACTCCTGACCTCATGATCTGCCTTCCTCAGCCTCCCAAAATGCTGAAATTACAGGCATCAACCTCTGTGCCTAACCTGGAATTTTTATACTTTTTAATCCACTGCTCTTTAAAATTTTTAAAAATAAGTTTATTTTTCAGTTTATCCATTTAATTTATTCTTTATACTTTCTGTTCTTATAGTAACAGTGATAATTCTGGTAATTACCTACCTCCTAACCGGCACTATGGTTTATGATTCTTTTCCAATCCATGTTGACAGTCTTACATAATTCACTTAAAGCCCTGTGTATTATTCCTTTCTACGGCTATACCACAATTTATCTTTCTTATATCTTATTGTTGAGAATGTTTCTTTTCTCTCCTGTTACATTTTTTACATGTTGTTATGGACGTACAAGGAAAAATTTACTGGAACTGTAAAAACTTAGAGTGGAAATCCTGTATTATCCAAACTACTCTTAGGGTTACGCCAGTATATCCTCACAGTGCTGCACAGAGCACCAAATGTCATCTTGCAGTGTCCTGTGACTTCACATACTGCATAGTTTTCATGATGTACTAAAGTTTTATCATCAACACAAATAATCAGTTTTTCTTTTAGAATTTGAAAATGTTTTTGTTATTCCAAACTGTGGCTCAACAAAGGGCCAATTTCATGACTCTTTGGGCTTATGTAGGATTGTTTTTTTTAAGACAGATGTTCAGAATGGGATTTTTGTGTTTTCATCAAGCATGTAACAATTGCATTTTGAATTTTAATAGATGTTACCACACTGTCATCCACCCACAATCCTAATAATATGGGAGAAAATATTCTCATAGAATCTTCTAAATCCTTGATTTTAAAACAAGCCATGTATTTGTCAGTTTTGGCGGGGGGTGGGGGGAGAAATAGTTTACTACATTGAGGTTTGAATTTGGAGTTTTCTGTTTATTGGTGAGTTTGAGTACATATTTGTATTTATTGACTATTGCAATATTCTCTACAATCAGACGATATCCTTTGTCCAATTTTCTGTGGCATTTCCATTAATTTATTTGTTGATTAACAATTTTTCATAAGAGAGCCCATTGAATTTTGTTATTTTCTTCATGCAAGAAAATCAGTAATGTTTTTCAAATATTTTTTCATGTGTGTCTTCTGGATTTTGTCTTGCTCACAAAGTCTTATTTTTTAAAATAATTATTTTAACAGGTTTACAAAAGCAAAATTTACATACTGCAAAATCCAATCATACATTTAAAATTTAATGATTTTAGTAAATTAATAGATTTGTGCAATTATCCCAATAATCCAGTTTTATAACATTTCTGTCATGTCCAAAGCTTCTCTGTGTGGTATTCCCACTGATACCCCAAGCCCTAGCACCCAATGATCTGCTTTTTGTGTCTATTTATTTATCTCTTCTAGATATTTCAAGTAAATGCAATCAGACGACATGTCAGCTTTCACTTAGTTCCAGTTTCTTTCACTTAGTTAACATTATTGAAGTTCACCAGTTTTGCAGTATGTCTAATCATTTTGATTCTTTTCTTTCCATTTGTTTTCTCTTTTTCCATTTGTGTAAATTTATAAGGTACAAGTGCAGTTTTGTTACATGCATAGATTGCATAATGGTGAAGTCAGTGTTTCTACAGTATCTATCACACAGATCATATGCATTGTACCCATTAAGTAATCTCTCATCATCTGGAGTGCAAGGGTTGAAACTTGTTTTGGGAAAACTACCCTCAGGTTCATAGTATCTCCCCTGCCAGATAAGTCTTTTTTTGTTCCCTTTTATTGTTGAATGATATTGCCTTGCATGGGTGTAGCACTATTTTTTTATCCATTTACTAGTTGAAGGAAATTTGGATTGTTTTCAGTTTGGGCCAGCTATGGCTAAGGCTGTTCTGAACACTTGAACACATACCTTTGTGAGGACATATGTTTTTATGTCTCTTTGGTAGATTCCAAGGAGTAAAACTGCTGGGTCATATGGCAAATATATGTTTAACTTTTTAAGAAATTGCCAAATTTCCAGGTATCTGTTAAATCATGAACTCCTGCCAGAAACACATAAGATTTTAGAAAGTCTGTCTTCCAACACAATTATAATGATGATGATAGTATTAGAAGTAACATCTGTCTTGCTAATTTTATATTTTCTCTTTTATGTTTCAATTTTTATTCATCCAGGATCTACTTAGTGAAAGACATAAGTTTGAAATACAACTTACCAAAAACTGAATGTAAATCTCAATTCTTTCTAATTTTAGGCTCTGTTTTAATAGCATATCTAATTAAAAAATCAGTAACAAATGCATTTATAAAAATGAATGTATAGTATATTTTAGAACCTTATAGAGCTAGTCATTCCTTTTACTTTTTTAAAAAAATTTCCCTGGAAAACATATCTACCTCATAAAATAACGTGTCAGCATGCTTAATTCAGTTATAAAAACAATCTTTTCTGCTTGCTTTTTCATTTTATTGTAATTGAGTTAATGGCTGACATTTAATATTCTACATATATATTTAAAAAGACCCAAAACCCTGAATTGAGGATGCCTATAAGGAGTCTCTGGGCCTTCAAGTGAAATTTACCAACTTAAGAGTACCACAATCTATCATTTCCCTACTCTGAAATCTACTCCATCCACCATTTCTTTGTTTTTTAAAAAATGCATGGTTTTGCCTCTTTTCTTCCCATGTGCTTCAGGCCCACTCTACAAAGTTTGAATCCTGACTTGTCTGAGCCCGTGTGATCCCACGGTCTTTCCAATGTGCGAGAAAGTGAGTACTGGGAATAATCTGGAAACAGTTTAGTTGCGCCTTATGAAGGCACACAGGAACAAGCAATATCCTTTCCCTGTCTTTGGGAGTTGTTGTGAAAGAATAAGAAACCTAAAGCTGCTGCAGGGGTCCTCCTGCCGTCTCAGGAAAGCGGAGGTGCTGTGCGTGATGGAGAGATGTGAGATAAAGTTCCAGGATCGCTGGTGATGCCACAGGTCTCCTGAGTTGAGCAAACCTGGAGATGCCCAGGATCTGTCAGCTATGTGAGATAACGAGATAAAGAAAAATAAAGCCCACCAGATCGGATTTCCTGCTATCAGCAGCAGAGATATCTTCACTGAAATATTCACCCCACACATTTTAGTTCTACTTTATAATTCCACACCACAGGTCTCATATAAAAGAATGAGACAAATCATTTCCTCAGCTTAGGGAAAAAAGCCTATTTGTTGTAACTCTGGGATCAAATAAAATAGGCATAATTATCAGCTTCATATGTCCCTATAGGATATATATTCTTAATAGGAGTTATATGTACTTGTACTGCTGTGTATGCACAAGTAACACATAACTAAAAGTAAAATATGCATAAAATATTGAATTTGATTGAAAATAGTTGTCTTTGACAGTAAAGAAATTAGGCTCAAATGATTATTACTTTGAAATAAACTTTTGAATTGATTATGTATTATTAGATTTGACATATTTGACACTGACTCTCAGATAGAACACAATGGAGAGCTCTCCATCTTCTAAATTTGTCTTTCTCTGAAATCTGTACAAGTCCTTTGAGAATACTATACTATTGAAGTCTCTGGAATGAAAACCTATATACTAATTTACAGTTATAGATACACAATATTGTAGATGGGGTTAAGAAAGAGTTCTGATGGACTTGTTAGTGGGTTTCTTATTTCACGTTTGCCAAGTTTGTTTTAGTTTTCATAGTCTGTTCTCAGTTTTTATGCATTGCCTTTTCAAATGTTAGGTTTACTTTCTTATTGACAAGAAAAAATTGTATACTTGTTGTATAGCATGAAGTTTTGATATATGCTTATAGTGTTGAATGTTAAAATCAAGCTATTTAACATAATGCATTACCTCACATACTTAAGATTATATATATATATATAATTATTTTATTTGGAAATAATCTTCCCTTTTTCTTTTCTTTTTATTTTTTGTCCTTGAAGCCAAATGGACAGATGATTTTTAACTCCATGTTTGCAAAAAATTTAATAACGTAACATGTTTGTGGCACAGGGTGAGTACAGATGCATGGGAGGTTGTAGGGTTAGGTGAAGGGGAGCACAAATTTGACCTTGAGGCATAGCTATCAATGCTGGGCTTTCAGGCCAAGGGCAGGAGCTGAGGAAGCCGCAAGGGAGGACATTCCTGCTGAGCTGCTGAACCAGTAGCAGCCAGGTCCTGAGAAAGCTCTCTCTTTTGTGGAAGAATAAGAGCCAAGCGGGAAAGCTTTTCATCCTGCAAAGCTGGGGCAGAAGGTTCTTCCTTGAATGTGGTCACCTTCCCTTCAGCTCAGGAGTCCTGCAGAGACAGAGGAAAGTGGTGTGTTCAGACCTGGCTGTACTAACAGCTTCTTTTCACCTCTTTCAAAGGCTCAGATGAGAGCACTGCAGGAAGTTGAAAATCAAGCTCCTTAGTCTCCCTGAGCCAATACTGTAGCAGAGCAAAGGCCTTTTCTAAGTGGAGAGGAGGAGTTTTGGTGTAAATTGCCTGATCACAAATTTGGATCTAAAAGTCTTTCCTATTATTTCCTTCTTATGCCTTATCACCTCTACCATCATTCTAGGGAAACCAAATCTGTTTCTATAAGAGGATTAAAAGGCATTACCCGATGGCCAAAGTGCAGAACGTCCTAGGAAAATGAGGAAAAGGCATACACTTAAAAGATTTGTAAGCAAATCTGTCCTTCAGCACTTCGGTCTCAGCCTCAGAATGTCCCAGCCTTCGGTCTCCCACCTCAGATTTCTCTAACACCACAACCCACACCAACCAGAGCAGAGAGGAGCAGAAACAGACCATGTGACCCATGAAGCATGAAGTGTCGGGCACTGGATCCAGTGTAACTTTATTCATCTTAGTGGCTCTTTCTTAATTTACTCCAGGATCTCAAACCAAACAACTCCTACTTGTTAACCTTTCTCTCTCTCTACAGGCTAAAAGCTATTATGCTTTGACACTGATGATGTCTGGATTAGCAGGACATTGGAGGTCTTTTGGGGAAAGAAAGGTTTTAACCAGGGCCACTGATGTACTGAGAATTAATCTCCACAAAGCCATATTTCCTCCTCCAGAAAAGCCTATGGAGAGAGCCAGCTACCAAAGGCTCCTCACCTTTCTGATTCCTGAAGTAGATGAACAGCCCTGCCCCAAGAAGAGCAGGCCAAGCACAAAGCCCCTGAGTCCACTCAGCATCTTGCTCTGTGCAGATTCAGACTGTGCCCCTGAGAGAGGAAGCCAGGTTTAGTGATTTTTATCCCAAATTTAACGTCTTTAATTAAGAACCTAAGATTCAGAGCTTTGAAAATGGGGAAGATGGCTGCCCTGCAAAAACTAAAATAATTGGTCATTTCTGGAGAAAAAAAGATTTTCAAACCACACTAAACAATTACAAAGTTTATGCATCAAATTCATTCAAATATTACAGACTTCATGTAAGGCAAGACTTCAGCATCTGATCAACAGAACATCTGAGACTCAATGAGGTCAAGTACTTTGTCTAGAGTGGCAGAGCTCATAAAAGGCAGAGCTGAGACTGGACTCTGCTGATGTCCGGAAGGACCCTAGAGTTTTTCTCTTCTCAGTTGACAAGAAACAACTCACAGCAACAGCAGCAGAAAGTCTCAGACCCAGAGGAAGGGTCTGGAGCTTAGAGAGGGCAGGTGACTCTGACCTGTGACATTATGTAGGTGGGGTTCAAAATGGGGACAGCCTCTTCTTCCTGGTAGGAATGACTGCTTTTCCAGGGGCTAGTAGGTATGTCCCAGAAACTATTAAAGGGCTCCCCCTAGTGACCTGTGCTGATGGAGATGAGAACATGGAGCCAATGACAATCTGATGTGGGAAAGGAGAAACCTGACACTCAGGGATTAGCAGAGTCCTCTCCTTGGTGGGTGAGAAATTCATGAAGTCAGAAAGCTGCTCACTCCATTGCACTGTGAGAGGGCTCATCACGCTTGGGTGCTCCACTTGGCTGATGTAAACCTCTCCACTCTGAGGAACTGTTTCCAGCATCACCAGGGTCTGGAAGGTCCAGCCTCCATTCTGGATCAGGCCTGTGGACACCACCCCAGCCTTCTCTTCCTGGTCGTTCCGGAACCACCTGACTTCAATGCTGCCTGGATAGAACCCACTCACAGAGCAGACCAGGAGGCTGTGGTGCTGCAGGGGCTGGGTCTTTGCAGGATACACAGTCACCTTAGGTTGGACTAGGAGAACAAAAGGGAGATGAAATGAGACAGGAAGACAGAGCAAGTCTTCTTGTTTGGCTGTTTGTTGCTTCTCTGTTAACCCACGCTCTGGCCTTGACCAGGTCTCCAGTACAGCTGGCCATGTGGCCTCACAGTGTCAGCAGCCTGGGATTTAATCTTTGTAGTGGGGACTCACAAGAGTTGAGAGATGTGAAAAATGGTGTTGTATCTTCATAGCTTAAAGTTGGCATGCATTGCGAAAGTGTTTACAGATCTTTGAAAATACAGATTGTATTAATAAAAACTGATTTCTGAGACAGGTTGTCTGGTTCAAATCTAAGGTCTGCCTTTTACTGGTTGATTCTGAAAAAGGTTTTTATTCTTCCATGTCTCAACTTTCTCACCTATAATGAAGGATAATTATACTAATTTATCTTTTGGGGTTATATGAAGATTAATGCATATAAAACACATAAACAATGACTGAATATAGCCTTCAATTTATGAGGTCAGAAAGAAAACTTCTCATTCCATTCCATGGTGAGAGGGCTCATCACACTTGGGTGCTCCACTTGCCACCTATTTATTATCCTTGTACACTTGGAGAGAAAAATATGATTTAAAGCAATGTGGAAAGATAAAGGGATAGAGTAAGGTACATGAGGAAACCGAGGATGAAGTTTTAAGATCCTACCGCCATGCACTCACACCTTAGAACACCACAGAAATGGTTCTGCCCCTGGGAAGGTGAGACAGACAGAAATGATTCTCTAAATCTTTAATTTCCTAGAAAAGCATGAGTCCTAAAACAGAGAGAAAGATCAAGAAAAGTCATTTTAATTTCGAAAGTTCTTCTGTATACATTTAGCTGATCAATGTATTGCCAATGCAAAATAAGCATCACTATCATTTGACCTATGATTGTAAAATGATTTTTTTTTTTCCAGCATGACACTTGGATCAAGGCAGATTCTGGGACTCATTACTTGCCTAGGTGCTTTTGCCTAGGAAAATCCCTGATACTAGCAGATCCTCAATAAATACGATTTTTTTAAAAAAGGAATGAGAAACATGTTGGGAACCAGCCCAACCCTTTACACAGGTGCCCCATCTCCTGGCGATGCCTAGGGAGTGAGAAAAGGAATAAAGACAGATACAAGAATAGAATTTTAAAGCATGGGTCCAGGGTTCCAAGGCACTCTAGCAGGGTCATCCGGTGATCCATATTGGCCTAGAGCTCTGGGCTCCAAGCGCTCTTATTAGGTAAATTATCCTGTTAATCTTGCAGGCTCTGGGGAGGGGGGCTGAGGAGGAAGATAACAGGAGGAGGAGCATGTGTCTGCAGCATTCAGCAGCATAGGAGGTTCTCCTAAGAAACGCTCACTAAGGACACTGAGACTTTACCACCTGTTGTCTATCCAGATGTTTTGGCAAGAGAGATGCAGCAGATAAGGCTCCAAAAGGTCTGACCACACACAATGCATCAAGGGGCTTTTATCTCTCCAGGATTGTAGACATAAAGCAATCGAAATTGCCCCATATTCTGAGAACACAGGCAGAGCCTGTGGCGTTCTGGTGTCTCTGCCCTGCAAGGCTTTCTGGCCTTACCAGCACCCACCTGTGAAGACCTTCCTGAGTCTTATGAGCAGATGTTGCATTTCCTTCCCAGAGTCTTTCCATAAGCTCCCTTTAGGAGATCCTCACGCAAACTCTATGTTGGGAAGACATGTGGGACCAAAGCAGTTTTTCTTTTCTGCTCTGCAGCCACACCTCAGTGTTCCGCGGTTGAAGGGTGCTCTCAGGTGGCCTTTACCATAGGCCTCCTGTTACCACTTGATCTCTGCTTTTATTTTACTGCACCATAGCTTGGATTTGATCCATGGCACAAATCTCCGTGTATAAAAGGCAAAGCAAGATTGGAATCATTTATAAGTAACACAGGTCTGCCTCCGGCTGTCTCTTCCCACAGAAACCTGGAGACAACAATATGACAAAATGGTAGATTTAAGATGGATAGTAAATCATTAATAAAAATTTGGCAATTTATTTTATTAAATAAAAATATTCAAATTCCTAACATAGAAAAAAATTTTCAAAATCAAAATACACCCCACAGACTGGAGAAAATGTGAAATCTAATGTCAATAAAATGGTAATAATCTTACAGTACAAAGAACCCACAAAATCACTGAGAAAAAATACAAAGCTCTAGAGATAACAGACAAAAGATCATTGTTCATTTCATACCAAATACAATAGGGAATCCTTAGAGCAGAAATTATAACTGGCTAATAAAGAGGTCAAAATAATTCAAAAGCATTACAAATCAAAAAAGTATAAATTAAAAATTAATCAGAAACATACATTTTCACTTTTTGGTGAATGTCATAATAAAGGTCAACAAAGGAGAAAGTGAAGTGAGTTGAGTCACATCTATTATATATAAAAGAATAATATATAACTACTAGAAAAGTATTAGCATTATAATTAAATAGTAACAGTGTGTTAAAACTTCAATTAAAGTTAGTTTCACAGTCATTTTAACTATGTAAAAATACACACACTACGAGAACAAAAGAAAAGACCCAAAAAATTTGACCTAAAGAAGCTTCAGAAGTGTCTCAGAGGTCTTCTCGGTTCCTTTATAAATTCATCTGATGCTTTTGCAAACAAACACCGCACACTTTGATTTCAGAGACTGCATGAAGGGTGTGTGCAGGGACAGTCTGGAACTGGCCTCGTCACACTATCCCAAACCTTCCACACCCCTCAGCTCTCCTCCCCTAAACCCTCACCCCAGCCACACACACCTCACACTTCCCTTCCTGCATCTCTAAGGACCCAGGACAATCCAGGTCTCCTCCCTCTCCAGACCCGCACCCACCTCCCATGTCACCTCCCCACAGAGGCCTCCAAGGATAAGAAGCCCCCTCCTGCCTCCCCTCCCAGAACAGCCTCACACAGAAATCCACTCTCTACACACACACCTGTGCCCTCAGAGCTCCGTGCTCAGGATTGAGAGGATTCTAAATGCTCACAGATGGCGCCCTCGCGCTCTCTCTCTCTCTCTCTCTCTCTCTCTCTCTCTCAGTGTCTCTCTGTCTCTGTCTCTCTCTCTCAGTTTCTCTCTGTCTCTCTCAGTTTCTGTCTGTATCTCAGTCTCTCTCTCTCTCTGTCTCTCTCTGTGTATCTCTGTCTCTCTCTCTCAGTCTCTCTGTATCTCAGTCTCTCCTCCCCCCCGCCTCTCGCCGCTCACAGGGAGGCCCCGCCCCGCCGCGCTCACCTCTCCGCGGCACCAGGAACCTCTCAGGAATCCTGTCGTCGCGTCTGCACACGGTGTCCGCCGCGGCCCGTGTCTGCTCCATGATGTCCTCCCGGCTGTCGTAGTACTGTTGGTCAGGCCGCCCCAGCTCCGTCACCGCCCGGAGCCCCCCACGGCGCCGTCGAACCCACATACTCCTCCCGGTTGTAGGTGTGTCTGACCAGGAGCCGCGCGCTCCGTCCCGTTGAGGGGACGACACTCAAACTGCTCCAAGAAACGTGCTGTGGGGACACAAATGACGCGGTCACAGGGGCGGCCCCTGGAAGACACCGCCAGCGACGCTGCCATCCGGGGCTCCCTGGCGGGGTGCGGGATCTGGGAGCCTTGACCCGCCCCACCCGGAACCCCGACCACGTGCAGCCCAGGGGCTCATCCTCTGTCCTCCTGAGGCGGCCGCGGGCTGGGGGGCCAGGCGGGAAAACTGTGATACCCCGCTTTTTGCCAGCCAAAACTAACTCTCCCTTTTCCTGGCTAAAATCTGTTCAGGTGTTAGGTTAGCTTCTTGAGCCGGACAGACTCCATCTTGGCTTCTTCATGTCAGTATCTTTCTTCCCCTTGAGTGTGTAACTATAGTATAAGGCAAAGTCAGACTGACTCTGCGCACCCAGAAATGCCTCTGTTGATAAGACGCTGAGCTGAGTGGTATCAGCAGAGGCTGGAAATGCAGCTGCAGTGAGCGCCCAGAGCCTGCCTTACCTGTCAGTTGTGTGTCTTTCATGACAGCTGTACTCCTCACACCTGGCACTGTTTTACTTCCTGTGTATCAGTTTTTCTTTTTAACTTTTTGCTTACTCTGCTTTTATGAAAATTTTGTTTTAACTAGGTTTCCCTCTTTCCTGTAAAAACTAGTGTCTAAAAGATCACCTAACTTTTTCTTCGGTCCGACAGAATTTTGGGCATTAGCCACTCTGGGTCGCTGGCTTAATAAAGGACTCATAATTCCTTCTCAGAGTGTGGTACATTCCTTGATTCGCTCGAGTACAACAAAATCACCTGTGATCCCAAGTCTTGTGGGACTCTCTCCCTACCTCCAGCCTGTTCTGGAGACCTCCAAGCAGGAGGTGGAGGAGGATCCGCCCCGCATCGCATCGCAGACCACACCACCCCCTCCTGGGAGCCTCCACCCCAAAGAAACTCTCTGCCCCTTCTCTCATCCCACAGGCTTTACCCATTTCTTCAACAGCCCGCATGGCGTTCACCCTGTGAACACTTCCTTGGTGATGCTTCACCAAATCTGAATTGAAATATGACCTCTTCTACCTGGGTTAACTTTTACCAACCATACGCCTTTTTGTAATCGATCCAATGCATTTGATAATAATCCTCACAACATTATTTGTAGGTGTAAAATTAAACAATGAGTCTTTAGCACTGATCACATATTAAATACTCAAATAGATTCCCATTTTAATTTTTTGATCCCTATAACTGCAGCTCACATTATTTTTTCTATTCCTGATTCTAAAGCAATTAGTATCTTCATCATGATTTTGCAATTGTCTTCTGTTCTTCTATTAGTTTTCTAAAGAATTATTCTGAAAACATAGGGCAGAAACAGTGGCTTATGTCTAATAATGGAGTAGAGCTAAACAAACCTCACAGGAAAAGCATCTGCTGACTTTGAAGAAAAAGACTTTCTACATGATCAGATTTAAACTGCAATCTGATTTCTAGCACCAAATTTGTGATCTTGGGTTTTCCTTATAACATCTCAATTTATGATTCCAGAGATGTCTATCTTTTTAAACACCACAGATACACTAGGATCATTACTGAAATTCCAACTTAAATTCATAGGCCTGGTACAAAGCGATTGCAAAATGTTACATACCAGATACTGATGGAGACCAGATTCATTTTCTTCATCACTCCATTCTCATGACCTAGGGTCATAACTGGTATATTCTATGTCACTAATAAATATTGGCTGTGTGACCTTTTGCATGAGCAGTCACCACTGCACACAGGGGCCTTCTAGTATTTAATTACTGCTAATGACTGGACATCTTTGGTTCACAGGTGCCCCTGCTTCTTTTCAGCCTAGATGCATTATGTTTTCTTTTATTTTTCTCCAACATCCCTGGGGCACCCTCTCAGTCCCATTTGCTGGCCTATGCCCACTCCTTTTTTCTCCATACAATCTATTACCCTGTATGACCTCTTCCACACCCTGAAACTGAACACAGTACACGTATTGATGCTGTCAACATAAATACCTAAAGCCCTGGTCTCACAATGAGTCTCTTAAATGCCATTGGCCTTCTGATTGTTCCATACAAATGTCAAAAAATTATCTCAAACTTAAAGAAAACTTTTATTTCCAACCACCCACTTCAAATCATTTCCTCCCACACTTTTCCCCATCTCAATAAATAACAATAAATAACAACACCATTCACTTATTTCTCAAGACAAAATCCTTAGGAATAAAATTGATTGTTCTACCCCCTTTACAGTAATCTCTTCACAAGCTAAGCAAAAATACATGCCAAGTCTGTCCAACTTTACGTTTTTCTACTGTCTTTACCGCTAATGCACTCCATGAAGCCACAAGCCTGTTTTCCCTGAGGATTCCTTGCTGTGCTCCTAAATATTCTTCCTGACCACGTGTGAACTCCAACAATCCAATCCCCACATAGTAGTTAGAATTAGTTTAAAAACTAAATAGAAATTGACTCCCCTTGTAACCATCCAGTAGATTTCCATATCTGTTTAAATAAAATTCAACTTTTTTACTGTGGATGTCAGGGCCTGATATGATGAGGCTCCTGACTCCCTCTCTGCATCCTACCTCATCTTCTGCCATTCCATTTCCTTGCTTGATATACATCAGCCCCTCTAGTCTTCTTCTGTTTCTGCGTATAATTTCCCACACCAGGGCTTTCCCCCTATTCTGTCTTCCTGGATCATTCAACCCTTAGATCTTCACATGGCTGTCAACTTATTTTGTTGTCTCAGCAGAATGTCATTTTCTCAGATAGAGCTGCCTAGGCATATGAACCGAAGAGGGTGAATCCAATTCTCTCTTTTCCACAAACCTGATGCCTTTTCTTCAGTGCACTATGACTCTCTGAAATTTTTTTTTTGTTAAATGATTATTGGGTTATTGTCTATCTCCTCTATGGTTCTGAAACCATGAGTAGGGACTCACCCTCTCTATTTTACTGAAATAAGATGACTTAAACTTAGAATGGAGCCCAGTACACAGTAGCTGCTGAGAAAAGTAAGTGTGGTTTACATGAATAAACCAGCGCTCTGGGAACTGATCACTGTGGGGATCCTGGAAATCAGGAAGATGCTAAAGCTCCATCACTCTTTCATTTTGTCACACTATACCCCTTCTCTTCCCTGTAAGAAATACAGGCAAACTTCTTATTTCTCCTCCTTCTAGTTGGAAGAAGAATTCACAGATAAGGAAAGAGTAATTTGAAGAAACAAGAAATTTTTAAAATTAAAATTCATCTCTTTTTGGCTGGGTGCAGTTGGTCACAGCTGTAATTCTATCACATTCAGAGGCTGAGGCAGGAGGATCTCTTGAGGCCAGGTGTTTAAGATCAGCCAGGGCAATATGGCAAAATCCCATCTCTACCAAAATTACGAAAATCCGCTGGGTCTGATTGCCTGCCTGTAGTCCCAGCTACTCCAGAAGCTGAGGAAATAGGAGTGCTTGAGCTCTCTTTATCTCTTTTGATGAATCTCATAGTGCTCTCGGTCTCTGCCAGCTTTAGGGATTTCAGGAAATCATCACAACATACCTGGGGAAACAGAGAGAGAAACTGGAGCAAGAGCTAAGCAGACATGGCTAATTAAGGAAGGCTGAGGGCAGGATGGGTGAACCTATGAAATTTAGGATGAGACCAAGTAGGACAATGAGTTTCCAGAGCTTGCTCATTGACTTTGAGCCCTATGAGATGTGAACAATATTTACATTTTCTCTGTAATCCCACACAGAGTATATAGTTTGAATCTTATCAAATTTCTATTTGATTATTTTTGACTTACAAAAGTAGAATATCATATAATTGATCCTGAATTTGGTGAATCTCTTCTTGTGGAGTCTCATTAGAGCATGTAGGATATGTAGGAGAAACTAGTATAGAAAGGTTAAAACAGATTCATAATAAACACTAACCTGGGCCAGGATTTCAGAGGATGGTTTAAGTACTTTAGGCCCCAGAGAACAGCTCATAAATGCTCTTTATCTGTAGGGTGATGCCAAGCACTAAAGATCTGGGCTTCAGCTCCAGGGATTCTTCCCCATAAAAAAGAAAAAGCTCTAAGCATAACTTTTATCAGAGAATCTACATATGTTAAAGGGATACAGGCTTTCTAAACATTGTGGTTCAAAAAGAAAAGAAAGAAGATAACGGGGAGGCCACAGGGCACATCCTCACATAGGAAGAAGAGGGGCCAACACCGAAGGTCCTGTGGAGGATATAACACAGGATTGCCTAGGAGAGACCCTTTGAATTCCCTTGACTCCCATAAACTTTTCAGAAAATAAACCCTCCTTTTGTCTGACATAAGTCAAGATAATAACAGTAAGTATTTGGCTGGGCATGGTGGCTCATGCCATGTTGGCTCCCTGCACTTTGGGAAGCTGAGGCTGGTGGGTCACGTGAGATCAAGAGTTTGAGGCCAACCTGACCAACATGGTGAAACCCCATCTCTACCAAAAATATAAAAATTAGCCAGAAGTGGTGGCAGATGCCTGTAATCCCAGCTACTTGGGAGGCCGAGGCAGGAGAATTGCTTGAATGTGGGAGTTGGAGCTTGCAGTGAACTGAGATTCCGCCATTGCATTCCAGTCTGGAGGTCAAGAGTGAGACTTTGTCTTAAATAAAATAAATAAATAAATAAAATAAAAATAAAAATAAATAAAAGGAAGTGCTGTATGGGGAATTTATTTTACCATCCTTATTTCTAAATCCTCTAATGACCCTGAGGAAATGTGATGTAAAGGTTTTATTCATGGAGATTTGAGAAGAAATGGCCTGTACGGAGGCTCCTTTTACAAGTCTCAGGGAGAGGGCAGTAGTCAAGCTGCTTTTGTGGTGGAAATAATTTGGGATCTATATGATAAACATGAGCAATCCCTGAAGAAAACATCACAATTTCTTCATGATGGCTGAATAGGAACAGCTCCGGAGTGCAGTTCCCAGTGAGAGCAACACAGAGGGCTCGTGATCTCCTCATTTCCTACCAAGGTACCAGGTGCATCTCAATAGGACTGGTTGGACAGTGGGTGTAGCTCAAGGAGGGCGAGCCTAGGCAGAGTGGGGTGCTGC